AACACACACACACACACACACACACACACACACACACACACACACACACACACACACACACACACACCAAGATGGGGTCAGGTCCAACCTGCTCACCCTCTCAAAAGACAGACCCCTTCACCCCAGCTGAAGGAACCTACTCTGAACTGCCTCCAGTGTCAGTCTATCCCTCGTTCAATGAGGAGCAGAACTGTACACGGTGCTCCCAGTCTCACCTACAGCCTGTACAGATGGAGCAAGACTTCCCGATTTCTGTACTCCCATTTCCCTTGTTAACATTCCATTTACTGTCTGAAACAGTTGCTGCTCCTGCGTGCTAATTCTCCTCTTTCATGGGATAAGGGTATCGCTGGTCGGGCCAGCACTCACTGCCCATCCTTATCTGCCCCTTGAGAAGGCAGTGGTGGGCTGACTTGGTAAACCATGCAGGCCGTGTGGCACTGGGGCATTTGGGACAGAACTCAAGGACCTTAACCCAGGGACATGAGCAACAGTTAATGTAATCGTCAGACACAGAGGGGCACTTACATGGATCAGAATATCACTGTTGCGCTCCCCCCCCCCCCCCACCCTCACAATAGGACAGGGGCAGTACGGGGTTAGATACAGAGCAAAATTCTCTTCACACTGTCCCCCAAACCCTCCCAGCACAGGGTTAAGTACAGAGTAAAGCTCCCTCTACAGCGTCCCCGATCGAACACTCCCAGGACAGGGACAGTGGCAGAAAGGCTGTACTCACCACTCCAAAGCTGTAGGTGTCCAGTTCCACAGACAGCTGCCCGCTCTTGATGTATTCTTCAGGAAGGTATGCCAGGGTTCCCCGCAGGTTCTGTGTCTTTGCCACGGTGCAGCTTTTACCGGAGTTATTGGAGTATCGGCTGAACCGTGCCAGCCCAAAGTCCCCAAGCTTTGGAACAAAATTTTCATCCAGGAGGATGTTGGAACTGGGAAAGGGACAGGCACATTGAGATAATGAGGAGGACAGGTACATTGTGGAAACAGTGCTCCAAGACACTGGGAGTTCTCCCCAGGCCTGATCAGGATTCAGTTAAAAGGCCCCCCCTCGACGCCCACCCTCCGAAAGCGCAGCACCCCCGCGGCGCCCACTCCCCCAGTCTCCAACAGCGTGGTGCCCCCTGGCGTGTGTGTGTGTGTGTGTGTGTGTGTGTGTGTGTGTGTGTGTGTGAGAGAGAGAGAGAGAGAGACAAGTGAATCCCAGAACCTCGCGAGTGCCAGCCCGTTACCTCTTGATGTCACCATGTATGAGGCTGGGCTTGCTCGAGTGCAGGAACTGTATCGCGCGAGCAGTTCCCAAAGCCACATCCAGTCGCTTCAGCCACGGGAGTGGAGCAGTGCCATCCTGCAGAGTGAGGGGAAACAGTCAGGACATACAGCAAGACAAGCGGGGGTGGAGAAAAAAAAACAAACAAACAAAAAAAAAAACACCGCTGTCAGATCTTTCAAGGACCGACCTAACCTGAGGGATTCAGACTGGGGCAGTGCTACAGGAGAGGCACGCAGGAACTGGGGAGTACAGGCTCGACGTGCAAGCTGAGGGGATAAGCTAACTGGCCTTAGTCTCAACGTGTCAACTCAATTACCTCAATCCTACAAAAGCCCTCTGCTCCTACCAAACACAGACTGGACACTGAAGAGCTGGCCAAGTAACATCTCCCTGCCAGATCGTCCATTCTGGCTCTGTGGGAGAGAGAGTGACAACGCCACTGGACCCACAGTCCCTGGTTAATGCTCTGGGGAGCGACAGCTTTTAAATATCAATCGATATCGGGAATCTGAAGCCAGTCTCAGGGATGGTGACCCAGACAGCAATCAGTGAACGTCATCGAGTCCTGCCTGGTTCACAAATAGTCCCTGGTACCCGAGTCCACAAGCAGATAGCGATGGGCCTGTCTCTTAGTACTATGGGGCCCAAGCCAGCCACTCAGCTTGAGGGCAGTTAGGGACAGGCAACAAGTGCTGACCTTGTGGGTGGCACCCACATGAATGGCAGCCAAGGCACTGCACAGTCAAGGACAGTGTCCTTAAAGCAGATGAACTATGATGCTAATGAGCAGGAGCGACCTCGCTAACCAAGCGGTAAAATCACCCATCATGGTCCATGGCAAAAAGCCAAAAAAAAAAAAAGGGGGTAGATCCTGTACCGTGGAGCCCAAAGCCCCACTCGATACCTGGCACTGGAGCCGGTCCTGCAGCGATCCGTTGGGCATGTAAACGTACACCAGGCAATACACGCCATCCTGCACACAGCCGCCAGCCAAATCCACGATGTTTGGGTGTCGGTACCTGGGCAGGCAAGAACAGGGTGACTGACAGGGCTGGGTCAGAGCCTGCACGAGAGCAGACCCGGTAGGAGAAACGCACACTACGGCGCCCCAGCACCCCCACCCCTGCACTTACTGGTAGAGCTTCTCCAGTTCTGTGTGAAAACTTGCTCTTACAGTCTTCCAATCCAAATCAGAATCCTACAAGAGACAGAGGTGGAGGGGGAAAAGATTCAGATCGAGCAGCACCACCATTCATTCAGAGCATGGGAGACCTGGTTACAACCCAATCCCAATAACCTTTCACCCCTCACTTATCAAAAACCCTGCCTTGACATTACTTGAAGATTCTGTTTCTGTCTGAGGGAGGTTACAAGAGCACGTGAACAACTACACTGGCAGATTAAGATTCAAACTCTAAAAGGACACCGACACATTGGTGGAGTGAGCAGATTGATGTCAAATCAAGTTCAATGTGGAGAAGGGAGTGGTGAGGCACTTTGATACGAAGAACACAGCAGTACAATGGTTAGCACTGCTGTCTCACAGCTCCAGGGTTTCTCCTGGGTGCTCTGGTTTCATTCCACAGTCCAGGGAAGAGAAGGTTAGGGTGGACTGGCCACACTAAAATTGCCCCGCAGTCTGCAGGCTAGGTGGGTTAACTGTAGCAAGTGTGGGTTTACAGGGATTGGGTGGGATGCTGTTCAGAGGATCCGTGGGGTGGGGTGGAGTGGAATGGAATCGGATAAAGAAAAACGGAATTAAGTCCAAGATCAGACAGGATCAACTTGAACGGCACAGCAGGACTGACAGGCCAAATGCCCCACTCCTCATCCACCGGGTTCTTCCATTTCTGTTTGAAAAGACCTCCCATGACTAGTGGGCCTTCTGTCACATCAGCGCAAAGGCACTGTCTACCCTTAACCATTAGCCACTGCATGACAAAGGTTGTGTACACAGGGAATTCACCCCCTGGGATTCATTACACTGACTGGGAAAGCAACCAGACACAACAACAACAAAAGGTCACCCAACAGCAGAAACAAAATCCAGCTTGCCTCCTTCAGTCTCTTCACGGCATACTCTGTGTGGCGCATCGATGCCCTGTACACACAGCCGAACCCTCCTTCGCCTATCTTCCGCCTGTCTGCAAAGTTACAGGTACCAGCTCTGAGCTCGTGGAGCGGCCAAGAGAACAGGGGCTTGGTCATGATAGAGGAGGACATTGAACATGATGAAGCAGGAGCCTGGGAAGAGCGGGCGAGACAGAGCGGGCGAGACAGAGCGGGCGAGACAGAGC